TAATGATAACTATCAAAACGCTTGCCATTTGAGATAAATATAAATTTAATCATAGAACTTGACTTTCGGATGACTTTCAACCTTTGGAGAGTATGGGAAAGTGTTTATGTGCGACCTCTGTGAACTAGTCATACCCTGATTTCACCTCCAGTTTATTGCACATAGGGATAGAGCTCGCTGCTCAGATCCAAACATGACAGAATCTAAAATGAGTTGCAAAAAACAAAATTGGAGACTGGCCTCTGATACAAAGTGTGAAGGTCTCTTTGCTTTATAAATCGTCAAGTCATGTGCTTATGCCTCATCGAAGTCCATAACGCTTGAGTGATGTAGACGGCTGAAGGGTGGCAGACATAAACAAGTGCTCTTTCTTACCTCAGAGAAAGTCAATAAATAAGTAAAATACGAAAATGCGATATAACTAATCAAGAAAGCTAATCAGGTCGCTTAAATTGTTAAAATCAACACGATCCTTCGAAAATGAAATACACTTTCCACAAATTTTTTGAAATAGTCCTATCGGACGGGAAACAGAAGTTGGAATGCGTGAGAGCATTCAAAGATAGAAGTAGAAATGAAATCAGAATTCAGACCAAATCCTCTGAACCAAAGGGCATAATTGAACTGGTTCACTATAATCGAACCGAATCTTGGAGAAAAGAGTGATTAGAATTTCAGCAAACCCCTAAATAAAACGCAACATTCAGACTTCCAACAGAAGCCCCGTTTTCTATTTATCTTCTGTCCTATATACTGATGTATCCTTTTAAACTACTCACGAAACTGAATATCCAAATCTCGCGCTCCCTCTCTCTCTCACACACACACACACACAAACACTGTCCATAGTTTGATTTTAAGTTGAACGGATAAGGTCAGATCAGGAAAGAGAAAATAAACTTTAACTGAAATGAAATTAGTCTGCTTTAAATAAATCATGGTTGGAATTCGTTTGAGAACTTGACGAAGTTTAGCGCAATCTCATTGCCTAAGCAAGTGAAATTATGGAGTGTGCATTTTTGAAAAATCATGGCGCACATGCTAGTGTCATGTTATTCATAGCTAAATCATTTTATGAGTACTGACAGTACAGTCTACTTATATATTTATCAGTAGTACATATTTTATTGCTAACATTATTAACATTACTTACCAGGACATTCGTTAACACAGAAACCATTGAATTCATACTTAAAACGAACATTCAGGGTTAATCGGTAGTGTTGAACTGTTGTCGGTTTTGGACAGCTTTCCACACATTTTTCTCCGTCATAAAAGTTTTTGCATGCCTATGGGTACAATAAACGGATTATGGAATTAACACTGGTTATATAATTAAAACATCCCATAAATATAACCTCGACTTTGTGCTACAAGTAGTTATTTAACCTTAGTTGTCACAATTATTTTGAAATATTGTTTCACGTGATTAGCACACACATGCTGTCTGTCAGTCATGTAAATAGACAGTTGACATCTCTTTGTGTTCTCCATCGCACACCCACACACACACACACACACACATACACACATACTCAATGAAGAAATGGGGTGCAATTATATGCCGACTTACAAAGCAATCGGATTCTTGTGGACCTGTGCAACCTCCAAGGCAAGAGGGGTGACAACAGTACTCTTCTCTTTCTGGTCCCTGGTCAGGCATCTGAAAGCACCAATCACAGCTGCGTTTCTGGCATCGTCCTCCATTAGATGCTAAAAGTTAGAACCACACTTGAAATATTTACCAAACCATCAGCACATTGGTTTAAATTTATGACAGCAAGAATTACGATGTTTGTATGTTTTCTCCACATTAAAAGATCATTAGTTATATTTTTTGCCAATTTGAAGTTTTGAGTACGTAGACTTACATGTTTTCAGTTCAATAGTTGCAATCTTTTCGTAGTTCACGTTATCGACTCTTTGTATGTGAATTTAGATTACAAAATTTTCCTTTAGATTCAAGCTCCTTTTAATTTTTACCTATCGTACAATTTTCACTGAGATTTTAAGAGACCTTTGAGATGCTAAAGAGGTCGATCATTAATTGCTCGGTTTTAGTTTTAATTATATTAACTTTGTTCAAACAAGCAGCCTGTAGCTAAAGAAGAGTGTCTATAATGTGAAGGAATTATGAAGAGGAGAAAAAGGTTTTTCGCTGAGAGAACTTTCGACTAACTTCCTATTTCTTCTCACTATCTATGTAACAAAAAAGTGAATTAATTCACACTTGTGACTAGACCCTCCAAGAACCTTGTTAACTTGGCAACTCAGAACATGACGAAGTCCTAGACACGACGCGCTTGTGATGCGATTGCAGAAGCAAACCGATTTGAGTAAGGAGCACCGAAAAAAACAGGTGCATGCACAGGCCCCACTATTCTGATGATGACGCAACCTTTGGCGACCAATCACACGGCACAAATCGGTGCCAGGTTTTAGAGAACACATTTAAGAAACGTACTGCACATTACTCCGATTCCTCAACGTATTTTCTCCTTCCTTTTTAGGTTATACGTGAAAATATACTGAACTACAAATTACAAAGGGTATTTAATAAAGTTTTAAAAGTACCCTCACCTATTTCCTATTTGTGAAGTACAGACAAGATTAAGGTTTAATTAAACTGAATCATGACTTAAGTAATTAGTGAAAATATCAACATCATCATACTAATTGGAATTTCAGATCGAGAGGAAATAAAAAGGCAGTTTGAACCACTGCACTTTGCTGCAAATAGTATTCAGTTGTTTTTAAAAGTGTTGCATTGTTAAGTTATCGTAAATTAAAACAAGTGACACACTATTATCTAAATATAAATTATATTTCCAAAATTGTTGGCTATTTTTGAAACACAGGTTTTTACTACTATACATATTAACCGCGCATAAGAACAGAAGTTCAAAATTTCTAAAATCAATATGAATAGACGACGGATTAACATAATAAAATCACGTCATTTTCACAGGCTGATTACTGCCAACTTATTTGATTCTTCAGTTTTCAGTTGGGGAAAAAATATTCCACTGATAAGTTGAATTCAAGTCCGGACTTAACACCAACGACTGGTCACTTTTCGAATCAAAAGGAAGGGTTAGTTACCCATCGACACAAGATGACCCACCTCTAATGGACAAAATTGGACCAGATGGATCTAACATAGTTCGGATCTCTTAGGAAAGTGCACATAAGCAACTATTAACTCCGCAAATGAAGGAGCTTTTCGATGCTCACTTTGGGCGTCTGTCAATACTCATTATTAGTTAAATTTGACTAGAGCGATCGATCATTCTGCTCAGTGACTATGCACCGTTAGGCCTCGAACACGTGACATTAAATGAGCTAATGAACAATATAGTTCTTCCTAATATGATTGCTGAAAAGTACTTTCCGTTAGTGTACCTGGAACTTCTTTTTATCTGCGCAATCTAAAGCCACGAAGCTAAAAAGCAACTGATTAAACCCTATGTCGATCATACATCGACCTCTAATGGGTCCAGTTTATTTGGTAAAACTATTAGGCACCACAGCATTTAGGAGGACATTAAACTAAGATTTATTTTATGAAAACTATATCCATTTTAAAAAGGGATTTTAGCAGAAAATCTTTAAAAGCGTTCAAACGTAAAACTAGATGGGAGCTATTCTGAGGTATCATTGTAATCAATACAAATGAGCCCATAGCATCAGTATTTAGAAGGCGACTGATTTGTAATATAGATTAACTCGTCACTTCAGATGAACTTTCATGCAACTGCCTACTACATTGAAAGTGAATATAGATCTTGTCATGAGGGTCACCTAGAAGTCTCTTTCTACTTTGGAGGCCATTTGCTTGTTAGTAGTTATAAAACCCTTAAAGAAGTTCGCATATGCGTTAATCCATGTGCTCCTGTACTTAAAAGAGAAATAAATATCCATACAATTTTTAGCTCCAATCGCATTCAGTGATGACAAATTTTGACCTGTTCCACCATTGTGTACTAATATTCGATAGAACATGGAATTAAAATACATGAATGCATATAATCTAGCGTAGACAACGAGGTGGTAGTCAGAAGAGTCATGTTGTTTTTGTCATGCTTACCTTCACTGCTTTTGAAATTTGAAGTAAATAGACGGATTGCAGCGGAATGGAACATCATCATCATCGATCAAGCTGTAACTTCGTGCATAAGAATTTGCCCAGCAATATGCTCAGAGAACGAATCGAGAGAATTGAGTTATAAAATTTGTAGCGGCAAATACAATGCAACTCGAATCCAGAAAAAACAATCTGACCTAACTCTCTCTCTCTCTCTCTCTCTGTGTGTGTGTGTCATTTTGACCATTTCCCCTCGTTTCCCCTTCGCCTTTCTGTGAATTACAATTTTATTCAATATTTCCGTATAATATACTCACATTAGGACACTTGCTATCAACAATATTTATTAAACGGGGAGCTCTGACTCCGAAGCTCAAGTCTTCTGATTTGTCAATTTTATACCAGCGAATGCTATAATAATACCATAATTATCAACACCTTGCGGACTTTACATCAGCAAAGGTGGGATACTTAAAAAAATGCGAATCTACTGAGTCCCATAAGGAGATGGTATAATAGAAGTTCTGAATCATGTTATCACTTTTCATTTGCATCTATCTCGGAATGTGCGCATATTGAAGGTATCACTCATTCGCAAACGATAAATGCGTCGATGTGATTTCTCACCATTGATTGTATCTCCACATAACGCAATCTCATCAAATTTAATTCTTACCGACAGTCAGAAATCAGTTACTGATTGATTTTTAAAAGATGAAAGCTGAGAAAGGGCTTGGTAGAAGCCTCTTTTGTAGCATAAACATTTCTTGCGACACATGCACTGAATTCTTGTTTCTCAAATCTGTGAAAACTCTCTTTAAGTGATTACTAACAGACAGGAAATTGGCGTGCATGTTGAGATTCATTAGGTCAGTGTGTTGGTGTATTCTCCATTTATGACCAATTGAATTGGGCGCTGTGACTTATTTAAACAACAAAAAATGCTTAATATTTCAGAGCTTTAACATAAGTAAAACAGAGTTGATTTTAGTGAATTATTGTAATAGACCCTTTTTCTTGATGCGAGATTGGAAGGTGAAAATAATTAATTCAGATGAAAGAAACTATGGCCCTTTCTCAGATGTGTCAGGAATGCTGGTTTTTAATTGTTCATAAAGGGAGGAGGAGAAAGACTTGGATGTGGGGGGAAGGAAAGCAATTAGCAAAGATGCCGCGGTGCAACAAAAAGCACCTTATCTCCAAATCACATACATATTAATCTATCATCATCATTTGTGTGTAAGTACCGTCATCGGATTGAAAGTCGCTATCATCTGCTGATGAGTAATCGCCGGGGACAGTAATTCATAATTCTCTTCTCTTAATAAAGGGGACGATAGGGCTGATGGATGTGACCGATACCACTTTCGGTCTTCTTCGAAAGTGGTAATCGTCTTTGAGACATCCATAGTAAACTACTAAGAATAGAAATATTAAATCAAAACTGCATGGCAAATTAGTAACAAGCCATGTTTTATGCATCATAAATGGTTAGCTTTACCGAGAAAAAGTGAGTGACCTCTTCATTTAATCTAAGTTAAATAAATCTGAACAGTTCAAACAAGACTTATTTTATTGAAATTATTTGAAACTCCTTTCGACTATGTATGTAGTATATGGAAATGAATGAGTTGCATTTAGTAGGTCTGGGTTAGAAATTAACAGTGCTAGATTTGAGGTCAAATGTAGCCAAACCCGAAATGTGAAAATCAGTCAATTAAATGGGCACTAAGTTAATTGGATACGTAATGATCGCCAGATGGTGAGTATTTCAGAATGCATGATTTGATAAATGCATTGATCAGTTCGTTTAAATGCCACAGGTGAACTGTGAAAAAAAGAAGCGGTTCAAAACAACCTAGCTGCCATGAGCTGGTTACCCTTCGTTTGACAGATTAGATAACTGCTTCGAGAGGAAGCGAACAATTCATTTGACTAGTCAGCTAGCATTGAAGGCTACAGACTTGGCTATCACTCAGAAATTCGCATGGCTTGATACAACAAGCATAACCTCTTAATTAAAGAGTAGACAATCCGGTTCACCTCAAAACCCAGAGGTTTCTTTTGACATCCTTAATTATATTCACTTATCGTCACCTCCACCTTGTCACTCACTGCTTTAACCATCTTCTTAGGTATCTCTTTCTTTCCATATTAAATTTCACACTGATAATGACAAGTGCCTAAAACACGCTTGTCTTTGTATTACGTCGAAATCTGAAGAAGACTTCCATGAAGTCAAATGTAGGATTAAATCACAAAATGTTCAATATGTGCACAGTAACTTAAAAGGAAGATGAAATAAACAAGAACATCTTAGTTAACATAACTTGGTTACTCTGAGAAATAATAGACTGGAGATGGAATCAGTAAGTCTTTCCATTCAAAATACTGCGATTTCAGCTCAGAATGCTAGCTAGCTCCTTAAAGTCGGATTTAGGAATGTTTGAGCCTGTGTAAATTTTTGAACTTCTTAATTAGCTAACACGAATCAGAAAAGGGCTCTTTTTAATGCTCTTCTTTTCGCAGTCCTTTCGTCCATCTTCTATTCATTTCCACTTAATATTTCTAAAATTTAAATGCTCTCCTCAAGAATTAAATATCTACTCTTTTCAGTTTGCCAAGATTGTTAGTGATGCCAATAACCATTACTAAAATTAGTCCTCTCACCAATCCAATGTCCAAGTGGAGTATCCATTTTAATGAGTTTCGAATCCGTAATTTACTAGTTCTTCACTATTAACCAACATAGCGTAGTCAAACAGAAAATGCGAAGGAATTCATCTGGATGCAACGTGAAGTAACTTAGTGGGAACAACACCATATCCTATCTAATCACTCACAAACAAATTACTCACCCCACATTAAAAATTTTCCGTTTTTATCTGATGAAAAATTACACTTTTTAGTGTAACGAACACAAAGTTCCTTTGGAAATGCGCTTTTAGCAGTCCTCTCAGACAGAAGACTGCAGCATGGGGTGTCCCTTCGTAAGAAATTGGAATCTCACCAGGCAAATGTAATCAATACACTTAGCCATTCCTATTACTGGGCCTCCATTAATGAGCGTCGAACTGCCTCTGGGTTGGCAGACGAGCACCTACCTACAAGAAGTTGTCGTTCTTACGAGTAGGGAAGTGGATTTCGATTGTTTACCGTCGGTGTATGACCGCAAAACTTCAGACTATATAAAAGTCGAGGTTATAATTATCACCCATGATGCTGCAATAGTTTTTACTCATATCAGTTGTGAAGAAGCACCTAAATATGATTCAAAATAGGCGAGTTCAATGAGGTATCAAACCGGGGGTAGGGGAACGGGCTCAAGGTATGGCAGCGGATAAAGTTAGGACATCAAAAGTTTTACTTTATTCTAACAATGGCAGCAGTGAATTTTCCAGGTCTTCAAATTTCTTGAACGAATTCTCAGGTTCATAGCTGTGACTTCGTTTGGTATATTTAGAACTTGCCAACTGATTTAATTCGGCTTTTCCCTATCGCTTTGGGGTACCTTCTCGTAGATAAAACAATGAACAAGTAGATGAAACTGGCAAAGCAGTTCTCGCGATACTTCGTCTATTTACTCCTCAACGTTATAAAATTAATGTGCAAATCGGGTAAGTATTGATAAAAGTATTTGAAATATGTTACAACTAGAATCTAACTATAACTGGTATCGCAGGTGTCAAAATGTGGGCCTGGGCATGTCAGTTAGGCAGGCATGCTGGTCACAAATCTAAACGCCCCAATTCTGATGGACTTCGTAAAAGTGGCTATGGGACGCAAATTTCTGGATAATTATGGAAGTCGGTACTTCCACCTAAGAATGGCCAAGAATGGCTGCTGAAATTTAGAGCACCTCTAAGTATGTCATAGGAAAGTATAGAATTTAATCAGTTTTGATGCTAAATAATTAAATAATGCCCATAAGCAAGGCATTTTATGACATATTATTGGACTTGTTATTGATTTTTTCAGCAATGATTAGTGTGTTTCTAATATAAATGACTCATTAAAATAGAGGGAAAATTTTACCGTAAGCTTCAATGCGTGCAATAGCTGAATACCAATAAACGAACTTCTTGGCAGGTATAGCTGAACCTACGCATATGTTAGTATGTCAAATCCATATAATTAAATTTAGAATGGAGGACAAGTAAACGAATTTACCTGAATATTGGTTGGGTGATTGAGTACTGTATTCACAAATTGTTTGAGAGAGAATAGAGAATAAAACTGCTTGACTATGTAACATTAAAATTACTTCTAATATTTATATGTATTCAGACCCTTGACTAAACAAAAATAAGTTTGCCTAAATGATCTTAAAAATTTCTGAAGGATGTCTGAAATTCATCAAACCTGGAGAATATAAGGTAGTGGATGAACAATGACGACAACAGATTTCACACAAAAGCGTTACTTAACGAATGATAAAGGTTTATTTTCAAGCGAAGTTAAACAAAACTACTCCTTGTTCAAAGTCTCGACTTTTTGTGAATTTTCATCATTCAATATTCCTCCCCCCCCCCTCTGATTTTTTTATTTTCTATAAAGACACGCAGTGCTCATTCGATCCATGCTCTTCTCAGCTGTCACCACGTGGCTGCAAGGAGCTCGGAGTGAACCAAGGCCATGTTAGACTAACTGATCAAGAAAGCTCTGAATATCACGGACACGATCTCAATAAAAAAGCTGGGTATTTAAATATGGAACACGTTTTTTTCCTGGAAAATAACTTGCTCAAGGTTTTGCTATGCCTTACTATAAGAGAGCCAAAAAGCGAGCTTTACTTCTCAACTTTTATCATCGTCAAAAAAGCTGTATGAGGTAGATACAAGTATGTTCAACTTGTCAAAGATATAAGCTAATTATAATTATGGTTAATTCAATATTTCATAATATTTTATCAGCAAGTTCACAGTAGTCAAATGCAATGAAAATTAGGGCTTTACGTTTAAAGGCCAGTTCTCAAAGACGATCACAAACCAGATGACAATCTTGTGAAAAGTATGGAAACTCAAAGGAAAGTGTAATTTAAACTTAGAAGATGATATATGACTCAGGCATGACGATTCTTATAGAAGCCGGAACATTTTTTTCAATAATTTCTACATTTCATCCATTAAGTCAATTAAGTGAGTTTCGAGTTTTGTCCTTTAATTCAATAAATAAATCGCGCAAAAAGGAATTCGCAAAAACACAAATTAAGTCAAAATTGACCCCTTTGATCTTGTTTATCATTAATTTAAATTTCGAACTCCTCTTTTGAAAATAATTTATTTCCTTATACATGCCTCCCTTCCAAAAGCAATTTCTATGGCTTAAAGAAGAAAGTGATACAAATATACCCCAAGCAGGGGTCTCTCCTTAGGAGTCAATTTATTTTCTTTAAATCTGATGATAATAAATCAAAACAAATTTGCAGTTTATTGACATTGATGTCGATTTTCAGGTTGCTAAATTGCACATTAAATTTTAGAAAGAAAATGAGAAAAGATGTGCCATGTTAATTGTGGAATCGAATCGCGAATTGGTCTCTTAAATGCGAGAATAAGGGAGAAAACACGCACATACGAAACGACAAGAGATTAGTAAGGTATTTGGCACCAAGATTTGAGCAGTGCGGTGCAGATAGGCTATTGATACCACTACATGTGTTTCTCTTGTAAGAAGAGAGTGGCATTATCCCAGATTTTGGCAAATAAGGATGCATTAAATGTAAAGTAGAATTTCGCTTACCAAGTAATGCGCCTGGATTGGATGATTGGCAGGGTTCGTTTAGGGTGGAATTCAAAATAGGTAAATCCAAATCAAGGGAATTGTGAAAGCGCTGTTCCGCAGGATTAGTGAAGAGATTTTTGAATACAAGTCCACCGACCAGATCACAGCCAACAGGATTATCAAACATATAGACATCCCCGTTTTCGATCGCTGTAATTTTAAAGACACAGTCACTCAATAAATTCATTTAGCTAAATTGTCAGAAGCGATTTTGTTCAAAAAGTTAAACTAAGATATGATATTTGTTATCAGGTTTCCCCATCCCAGCCAATTGTTTGATTTTAAAAATTTTTATCGAGTGCTTTTAGATAATAAAGCTTGTCATCATGGGTTAAATAAATCTAGTTTAATATAATATTCTTTGGCAATTTTGCAAGGAGTAATTTTAGTTAATAATAAGAGGCTCTGACAAATATAATGCAAATTAAATGCCAAAAGTTCACAGTCCTAAAAATAATTCAAACGTGTTCTAAAGTTTGTAAGTTTGGTTTATATTAGGTATAATGAAGTTATATATTTTTTCATTTAATAAAATTTAAATAAACCGCTAGAAGTATGCAAAGATTATCTTACGGTGCCATTTATAAATAGGTTAATAGAGGAGTTCTACGATATGAATTGAAACTTAAGGACAATTAAACTTTATTAAGAAAACGATGAGTAATTACCTTTAAGTTGGTCAAAGTTTATTCTGTAGAGGATGCGATTTGAATCGTAGTTGTGCCTTATGAGAAGAGTAGCCGGTGGCAGATCTTCATGAATTTTATATCCCCCTCCAAGTCCACGAATAACTTTGAGGCTAGAAAAGGGTATTTCGCGGATACTTGAATTCATAATTATCAAAAATCCACTAATTTCTTCTATGCTTTTTAGAAAACCTAAATCTGGTTCCGTTCCATTTGCTAAAAAGGAAAAAATTGTTTCCAGTAATAATGTTTTAACAAAAGCAAACGTTTTAAAGATTGAACTCAAAGAAAAATTGGAAAGAAGTAAAAAGAATAGAGCAGAAAATCGGGCATTCATGTCAGTTTTGCCTTCCTATACAATTTTATTAATAACTATGAATTCATAAAATATACTTACGACTCGGATGAAGTCCATAGATTATTAAATTTCCTATTATATGCGTACATCTTGAAGAAAATAACTTCTTGATATATTCATAGGAACCATCAATTGGAAATCCACTAATTACATTCATTTGGCTCAGGCATACTAAAACTTATCAATGTAGAAATACTGTATACCCCTGTATCTCCCTACATCGGTGACAAAAGCCGCTACAAAGAGTTATCAAAAAAGCATTGCATACCTGAAAATGAAATGCACAGGCATATTAAAGCGTGACGATAATCCATAAATACAATATTGAAAAAGAACCTAAAAATGCAAGGTCGTCAAATAGAGAAAACAAAGCTATTTCGCATTTGTGATATAATGATTATAAAGATAATAAATTCTCTCCTAAAATTGATCCGAGAATACTTTAACTAAAATTTAAGATTCTTGCCTTATTTGTATTACTCGTTTTATATTATTTTTTATGTTTCTAATATTATTGATATATCCTAGATAATATTCATCATTTTGTTACCATTATTATGGTTAATCAAGTAGCTATTTATTTCCATGAAAATATAATGGTATAATCTTATTGTTTACTTATGAGGGCAAGAGGTAATTGATCATTAAATTTATTAATCAATAATAATTAACCAAGATATTTCGTCAAAAATTCCCTTGCTGTTTTTAAATCTCCCATTTAAATTTGTTTTCGGTAATGGATTGTCACATTAATTTACTTATCTTTCATTTCAAATCCGAAAACAAAAATTATTGGAAACATTGTGACTTTACAATAACCAGACTATTCATCATTATGCACAACTTTTCGAAATATAATTTATTTTCCGAAAATATTGAAGCAAAGCAGAATCTTATTAAAGATAAATTCATCTTCAGAACTTTTCTAATTTACTTCAAATATTTCTTCTTGATCCGTACTTTGCAAATACAATTCAAGTTACCCTCATGTTCCCGAAACTATTTCAAACTAGCCTTCTTCGATCCCAGAAAGAGGCAATAAACATTGTTTGTCATCCACGAGTTGTGAATATCATCCGAAATGCTGGCCCTTTCAATAAAACCAGAACATATTTCTAGGCATATACCAACCTACGGTAATTTTGTGCATTCAAGTTAAATTCTAATGCATTGATATTGTTCTAGAAATTACTCTCCGTGAGTGTCCTTATTTAACCTATCAGAAACACTGACCTGTTCTTCGTGGAATCTGTCGTTTTCTGCAGACGAAATTGTGAATCAAACATTTCCCAATGATAACAAAACATCTTAAATATCATGACTGTAATCCAACTTAGCGAATCACCTAAGTAACAATAAATGATTATATGTTATCATAATTTAAAAAGGAGCATGATTTTTAACTTTGTCATGGCAAATACTCCACTATTTTAACTCATTTTAACTAACTTTTTAAGTTTACTGAAATGAATCGTAGGTCGAAATTGGATGATGTCGTTTGAAGCCGCTAGTTCAGGTAATCGGGAAATCGAGGCCATACAGCATATCAAAATAATGCTTATTTTTGATATCACATGCTTGAAAGTTTATTAAACTGATCAGATACCATTTAAGAAGGGGATATTATTTGACATCTCATTTTTCTCATATATATGGCTTACTTACTTCCTACAAAGTAAATGAACCATGGTCGCTATTAATTTTGGCTTATATCAATCCATTTGTATGCAAAATATTGCATCAAAGTTCAGCTCAATAATGATTCAGTTAGTGTATATATATAAAGCTCTCTAACTGATGATATTGCAATTTTATCTTTATAAATTAAAATGGACTTTTGACATAGTATAGCTTTTTGTACCAATCATTTTTAAATAATATAAAGCGACTAAATATGAATATAAATTTTTAATTATCATTCTTTGTTATTAAATACAAATGTGTTTTTACCTATATAACACTTTGGTCGAATTTATGAACGGAAGATAACCTTGATCTTGTGGTGAGTTCCAAACTGCCCTTTTTCGCTTGAAGTTGTTTGTAACAATGTGTGAACACCATGGGCATTGTGATCATATTCAAGCTGCTGAAGAGACAGCAAATTTATATAGCCTTTATAAATATATTGATATCGAAAACTTAGTGTGCCTTAATGAACGTGTTGCCGATTCGGGAAAGAAGGTCTTTAAACCGTTTGAGGTATTCTATTTTTATAAATTAATCCATCCATAGGAAAGGAAAGACTCAGATACATTTGTTGAAAGTGATGTAGACGAAGAGCTTCTATTTAACATACCTTTCAATGGTTCTATAAAGTTGAAAGGCATTATTGTCGCGGGTGAAAATGGAGAGACTCATCCTGCTTCAGTATCTATTTTTAAAAATAGGTCCTATATGACATTCGACGATTCAAATGTAGTCCATTTAAGAACATTTTTCAGTTTCTTTATTTAGGCTGAACCGGATCAGGTCCTTGAATTACACGAGGATCCTAATGGGGAGATTACATACCCGCTAAAAGTAATGAAGTTTGGTTCAGTACAGCACCTCAGTCTTCATTTCAAGTCGAATTTCGGTGGTGAAACCACCAAAATTCACTACATTGGCCTTCGAGGCGATTTTACAGAAGCTAGAAGAAAAGATATTTTGATTGCAAATTATGAGCTCAAACCCAACATTGCTGATCATAAGCAGGATTTGTTAATTCAAGGCGGACATTTTGTTGAATAAATTCTCTCTTTTGTATTAATTCTCTTTTTTCCCTTTCATTATAGTCATGGAAAATCTCTTCGAGCAATTTTTAAGAGATATTGGTCGCGATATTGACCAATTTGAGCGAGCCTATCCAAGGTTGCCTTCCCGTTCTTCACAGAAGCAGGAACGGATTAATGAACTTTGGGTGAAATTGCATGAACTTTATAACAAACAGGAATGTCTCAGACGTAGCTATAATGAAATTGTTAATCAGCTAACCACAATCTCCCTTGGATTACCAGATTGGGTGTTCAATTATGAGACGCCGGAGTATCAATATGATCAGGAAGTCGAATTCTATCAAGAAGGAGGCGAAGAAGGGGAATATACTGAAGAAGAAATTGAGCCATTGAGTGCGGATTTTTTAAATTTTATGCTGAAAACATACAGGCATCAAGAACAGAGAGATAAAATGAAGGCTAAGGAAGAAGCCGCTTCTGTTAAATTTCCACCTCTTGTTGATATATCTAACAACTTAGAATCGAATTCGATGATCGCGAAGCGTCTACAATTGGAAACAAAGATTGCCAACTTCTATGAAAAGTTTAGCGAATGCAGGCATATGCCTTTCTGGCCGATTGTACCGCTGAGGAAAGTGCCTCGGCGGTGACTGCTATAATGTGGTGTATGGGTTCATGTATTTTTCTTAAGATAATATTCTCTCATTATCTCACATCTTTTGTTTGTGTTGTTATTGCTTTTGGTTGGTTTTCTAGTGCCAGGTGCGTTTGTTATTCCATCGCTTACTTCTCAAAACAAGTAATAACATTTTATCCTCGAAACCGCGCGTTTTTATTGAACTCTCTTATCGTAGTTACTGATGGTGTAGATTATAGTTGCATCTGGGGGGTTGGGGTGTCGTAACTTTTGTTGATTTAACAGCATATTTCATTTCAATATGCATACTTCTGAGGTCAGTATCTTTAGTTTAGCTCACAATAATATTAATGAATTAATAGTAAGTCGCCCAGTGGAATGGAATGTATAGTTTTTGAGGATTTATTGACCTTCTACTTTTGGTTTCACGAAGATTTACAGGAGTGGCACACATGTCCATTTCTGTAGATACAATATGGTTAGTTGGTAAAATCGAAGATGTACAAATGAAATTGCTGTGGCATTGTATCATATCCTGTTAACATGTTTAGCAGAAGTGGTAGCCTGGAGAAATGTCATCTAACTGAACTGGTTCCCTGACCCAAGTCTCTTCTGCAACTCCTCCCACCCCATCCCCCCCCCAACCTAACAGCAGTTGGTGATTTCTGTTTGTTTGTTCTTGCTCCAATCACACAAAGCCAAGCAGTGAGCACCTCATAGCCCAATTGATTCCGCTTGTCTCTTACAAACCGGTTTTTTCCATCTCAATACTGCCGCATCAGTTACCCCCCCCCCCCGATTTCATCTGCTCCTTTCTCATTTATCTTCAATTGGCCAATAAATCTGTTGTCCTACATAACCTAACCTTAATTCCCTCATTCATTAAAGATCGTTGTTTTCTTCCATCAATTGTTAAAATCACTTTTTCCAAGAAGAAATATTCAGCCTATTTGGCCTTGACACTTAGAACATCTTTTCCTAAAATTAAACCTACCTTGAAATCTGATAACTTATTGTACATTGGAAGAAGCATATGAAGAAACGAAAACAAGGTAAATGGATGAGGGAGGATAAATTGTTAGACTGAGCGACAAATTCTCTCACTAAAAGGGTAGCTGTTGTGAACTAATTCTAACTTACCAAATAGTCACAAAATGCCACAACTTAATAATAACACATTGGGGGTGTGTGATAGACTTACCTTCACGTTGTGCACCCTGGGCAACGTATTCTCATACGGCAAAAAAGTCCGTGCACCCTGGGCAACGTATACTCATACGGCAAAAAGTCTTTTAACTGCACCCTGGGGAACGTATACTCATACGGCAAAAAAGTCTAACACCCTGGGCAACGTATACTCATGCGACAAAAAAGTCTACACCCTGGGCAACGTATTCTCATACGGCAAAAAAGTCTATGAACCGGCAGTCGACTTCTGACTTCACACTGCCATGACCCCACTGTATGTCATGGTCGACTACTTATACAGTACTCACATCACCTTTCATCTACCTTCGTCTTTGAAACACTCTTCTGTTCCCCCCCCCCCCCTCTCGACTTTTCACTTTGATGTTCCTTCCCCTCTGTGAAGCCTGAAGTCAACTAAATTGCTAATGGTAACCATCATAAAGCCTGCTATTTGATATAAATAAATAATGACACGTAGTAGCCTTTATGGTAGACTATGCTCCACAATTTTAACACTCGACAACGTTGTTATTTTGACACATTAACCAACTTCGATAACGGTAGTTTCCTATTTTAATCCCTAAACGACCGATTAATTTTTGTTTTGAAAAATACACCCAAATGCACTCACGCGTGTCTCAGCAGTCTGATACCGCAGACGTGATGAATTTTGGTGGCATCTGGCGAAGTTCACCGACGTATTAAACATGCTTCAAACTGTATTAGCGCCTTCTGTTACGAGCTTATTACCAATGGAGCTTATTTTGAATGCTAATGAGCTAAATCTATACACCACTACGCATAAATCACCTTTGTTGTAGGATAATTAAGTGTTCGTTTCCGTTGATTAAATTAGCTCAATAATTCACCATTTTCGGAGGTTTCCAAAATGCCCCTTCATAAACAGAGGCCAAAATGACATAAGCTTACAGGGTGTTAAAGAGTTGGCATTCAAGCTGTTACTTTATGTGCTTATATTTTCGCAATCGCACAGTATTTTACCGCTGTTAATTGTGACCTTCCCAGACGACCTCGGTTGTTCCATTGTGACTATTTTGTGTTTGTCGTTGTCAAACTCCTACTCAAAATCCTCCTATTAATATACTTAAACAAATACAGACTTATTTTCCTTCACTCCCTCATTTGAAATGGGTTTTGGACATTCTAGAACGTTCATTGATAGTTATTTGGATGCCATGGAAATATTATCGGACTTGAAAACTGGGGATTCTGGAGTTTGAGAGCACACAGGTGCTATTTCTTACATTTGGTAACTGGTGGTCACCTTCACCTGGAATTGATGATTCTGACCTTTACCATCAATTTGACTGAAATATCCCTAATTACCCTTGTAAAAGGATTTCATATGTCGGTTAAAAACATTTATTTATATTTATTTATTTATTTCAAATGGCAGGCTTTATGATA